GGGAGTGCAGGGGTTTGGGAGTGCAGGGGTTTGGGAGTGCAGGGATTTGGGAGTGCAGGGGTTTGGGAGTGCAGGGGTTTGGAGTGGCAGGGAGTGCAGGGGTTTGGGAGTGCAAGGGTTTGCAGGGGTTTGGGAGCAGGGGTTTGGGAGTGCAGGGTTTTGGGAGTGCAGGGGTTTGGGAGTGCAGGGGTTGGGAGTTTTGGGAGTGCAGGGTTTGGGAGTGCAGGGGTTTGGGAAGTGCAGGCAGGTTTGGGAGTGGCAGGGATTTGGGAGTTTTGGGAGGGCAGGGGTTTGGGAGTGCAGGGTTTGGAGTGCAGGGGGGAGTGCAGGGATTTGGGAGTGCAGGAGTGCAGGGATTTGGGAGTGCAGGGTTTGGAGTGCAGGGATTTGGAGTGCAGGGGTTTGGGAGTGCAGGGGTTTGGGAGTGCAGGGATTTGGGAGTGCAGGGTTTGGGTTGGGAAGTGCAGGGAGTTTTGGGAGTGCAGGGGTTTGGGAAGTGCAGGGGTTGGGAGTGCAGGGATTTGGGAGTGCAGGGGTTTGGGAGTGCAGGGATTTTTTGGGAGTGGCAGGGATTTGGGAGTGCAGGGATTTGGGAGTGCAGGGGTTGGGAGTGCAGGGGTTGGGAGTGCAGGGATTTGGAGTGCAGTTTGCAGGGGTTTGGGAGTGCAGGGTTTGGGAGGCAGGGATTTGGAGTGCAGGGTTTGGGAGTGCAGGGGTTTTGGGTGCAGTTTTGGGAGTGCAGGGGGTTTGGGATGCAGGGGTTTGGGGTGCAGGGGTTTGGGCAGTGCAGGGGTTTGGGAGTGCCAGGGTTTGGGAGGCAGGGGTTTGGGAGTGCAGGGGGAGTGCAGGGGTTTTGGGAGTGCAGGGATTTGGGAGTGCAGGGTTTTGGGAGTGCAGGGGTTTGGGAGGCAGGGGTTTGGGAGTGCAGGGTTTGGAGTGCAGGGGTTTGGGAGTGCAGGGATTTGGGAGTGGCAGGGGATTTTGAGAGGCAGGGTTTGGGAGTGCAGGGGGGAGTTTTGGGAGTGCAGGGGTTTGGGAGTTGCAGGGTTTGGGGTTTGGGAGTGCAGGGATTTGGGAGTGCAGGGTTTGGGAGTGCAGGGGTTTGGTGCAGGGTTTGGGAGTGCAGGGAGTGGCAGGGTTGGGAGTGCAGGGATTTGGGAGTGCAGGGATTTGGGAGTGGCAGGGTTTAGGGGGTTTGGGGTGCAGGTTTTGGAGTGCAGGGATTTTGGGAGTGCAAGGGGTTTGGGAGCAGGGGTTGGGAGTGGGGGTGCAGGAGTGCAGGGGTTTGGGAGTGCAGGGATTTTGGAGTGCAGGGATTTGGGAGTGCAGGGATTTGGGAGTGCAAGGGTTTGCAGGGGGAGTGAGGGATTTGGGCAGTGCAGGTTTGGGAGTGCAGGATGGTTTGGCAGGGGTTTGGGAGTGCAAGGGGTTTGGGAGTGCAGGGATTTGGGGAGTGGGGGTTTGGGAGTGCAGGGATTTGGGGTGCAGGGGTTTGGGAGTGCAGGGGTTTGCAGGGATTTGGGAGTGCAGGGGTTTGGGAGTGCAGGGATTTTGGAGTGCAGGGGTTTTGGGAGTGCAGGGGTTTTGGAGTGCAGGGCGGGAGTGCAGGGATTTGGGAGTGCAGGGGTTTGGGAGTGCAGGGAGTTGGGAGTGGTTTTGGGGAGTGCAGGGATTTGAGAGTGCAGGGAT